CTGATGATGATGATGATGATGATGATGAAGATGGTTTACAAACTTAATCTTTTCCGGAACAGGACTGCTCTTAAATCGATGTACCACTGTAGTAATAATAATATTTTTTTATTTATACACTGCCCATTTGGCTGGCTTGCCCAAGCCACTCTGGACAGCTTCCAACACATATATAAACATGGCTTCCAACACATTTATAAACATGAAGCATAAATAATAATAATCTGATCCCAATATAAAAAGAACATTAACTTTAAAGTGAACTTCTCCTAGTGGCCAAAATTGTGGAAACCTTTTGTGAAAAGTGTATTTCTGAGGTTTGATGGCTCATAACACCAATTTTGTGTGGAGTAGGTAAAGGTAAAGGTACCACTGCCCGTATGGGCCAGTCGTGTCTGACTCTGGGGTTGCGCTCCCATCTCGCTTAAGAGGCCGGGGACCAGCGCTGTCCGAAGACACTTCCGGGTCACGTGGCCAGCGTGACGAAGTTGCTCTGGTGAGCCTGCACCAGCGCAGCACACGGAAACGCCGTTTACCTTCCCGCTATAAAGCGGTACCTATTTATCTACTTGCACTTAAGGGTGCTTTTGAACTGCTAGGTGGGCAGGGGCTGGGACCGAACGACGGGAGCTCACCCCGCCGCGGGGATTCGAACCGCCGACCATGCGATCGGCAAATCCTAGGCGCTGAGGTTTTACCCACAGCGCCACCCGCGTAGTGTGGAGTAATACCATAAAATTATATATCAATGGAAGGATAATCTAATGAAGAATGTAATGAAAGAACTTTTATGAAGGAGTATTTATTAGAACAGCAGTCCTAACCATTGGCAACCTTTAGCTTTAATTACGGCCTTACAATGCCTTCCCATGATATGAACCAAGTTTTTAGTTCTGCAGCTGTAATAAAGTGAAACCAAGATTAAATTATTGCCTCTGTTAATTGGACTTTATTGCTGGGTTGCTTCTGACTAACAAGTTTCTTTAGTCGGCTCCATAGATTTCTGATTGGGTTAAAGTTTGGGCTATTCCCAGGCCATTCCAGCAGTGAAATATCTTTATCTTGAAAGCACCTTTTGCACACAGCAGCAACATGACATGGAGCGGAATCCTGTTGAAATGGAAAATAGAATATATATGTGTGTGTGGAATGTTTCCAAGGGGTTGCTTGAGAGCAAGCAGCCAAATATCTCCCTGCTTGGCTGTGAAGCCTTGCTTTTCCTGCCAAAATAAACCTTATCCGTCCGGAGTGCCACTCTCCCGTGGCTGACTCAGTCGCTGGCAGAATCCGTGAGTGGGCGGTTCCTAAACTTTCCCCAGCAAAGCAGCTTCTTGTTTGTTTGTTTTATAAATAATGTTTATTAATTTTCCAGCATACATTTATAATATCCAATCTAAATTTATCACATATTTTCTCTTTTGGAATTCCTTCAGCCTCTCTAACAATCATCCATTATTCAATTTTTTAATTACACATTTCCTAATTTTTATATTGCATTTTATATACCTTCACCCTCTTATTTTTCTTCAACACAATATTCCTCAAATATTCACAGAGATTCTTGAAATCCCACTAGCGTTGTTTGCTCATCACATATACATTTCAAATAATCTGAAAATTTCCCCCAATCTTCGATGAACTTTTGGTCACGTAGATATCTGATCTTCCCCGTTAGTTTATCTAATTCTGCATAGTCCATCAGTTTCATTCTCCATTCTTCTAACATCGGTAGTTGATCCTGTTTCCATTTTTGGGCGAGTAGTATTCTCGCTGAAGTTACTGTGTATTGGAAAAGTTTACAGTCCTTTCTATTTATCTCATTTCCTACTATTCCTAAAAGAAAGGCCTCTGGTTTCTTAACAAATGCATATTTCAACATCTTTTTCAACTCATTATATATCAATTCCCAGAAACCCTTCACCTTCTTACAATCCCACCACATATGATAAAATGTTTCCCCTTTTTCTTTACATTTCCAACACTTATTACAGTGTCGCAAGACGAACGCCTCGCAAAGCGGAAAACGCGCTAGACGAAAGGGTTTTCCATTTTGGAGGCGCTTCGCAAAACGAATTTCCCTATGGGCTTGCTTCGCAAGACGAAAATGTCTTGCGAGTTCCTGCGGGTTTTCCCCCCTCCCCCCTTTTCCAAAGCCGCTAAGCCGATTATCAGCTGATCTGCTGATAAGCCACTTAACAGCTGATCGCTAAATGCCGCTAAACCGCTAATAGCGCTAATCCGCTAAGTTGTCAATGGGCTTGCTTCGCAAGACGAAAAAACCGCTATACGAAGAGCCTCACGGAACGGATTAATTTCATCTTGCGAGGCACCACTGTACATGTTTTATACATTTTTGCCAATTTTACGGGTGTAATATACCATCTATAAACCATTTTCATAGCATTTTCCTTTAACGCTGTGCATGCCGTAAATGTTATATTTTCATTCCATAATTTTATCGTCATTGAACTGTATATTATGACCCAAATCTCTGGCCCAGTGTATCATAACCGATTTAACTTCCTCATCTTTTGTGTACCATTCCAGCACCATTTTATACATTTTAGATAAAATTTTGTATTCATTATTTATTATTTCCTTTTGAAATTTTGATTCTTTTTCATCAAAACCTCTTTCTTTAAACTGCTTTTTAAACATTTCATTAACCTGATAATAATGCAACCAGTCATATGCGTGCTCCTTCACTTCTTCATAAGGATTCATTTTCCATTTTCCTCCTTCTTTTACTATCAGTTCTTTATATGTAATCCAGTTCCCCCTCATATTGACTTTCTTAAGATTCATAACCTCTAACGGAGATAGCCAGTGGGGAATTCTTGGTTCTAATATACTTTTATACCTCTCCCATATTTCTATGAGAGATCTTCTAAAGATGTGGTTTTCGAAACCTTTATGGATTTTTTTCTTCTCACGCCATAAATATGCGTGCCAGCCAAATCTGTTATCAAAACCTTCTAAATCTAGCAAATCAGTATTTTTTAACTTTATCCATTCCTTCAACCAACAGAGACATGAAGCTTCATAATATAATTTCAAGTCTGGCAGGGCGAAGCCTCCTCTTTCTTTCGCATCCGTTAATAACTTAAACTGAATTCTAGGCTTCTTACCCTGCCAGATATATCTTGAAATTGCTCTTTGCCATTCTTTAAAAATCACTGTCCCCTTGATTGTTGGAATTGTCTGAAACAAAAACAACATCTTTGGCAGCACGCGCATCTTAATCGTTGAAATTCTCCCCCATAAAGATAACTTCATTCGACCCCACACCTCTAGATCTTTCTTTATTCCCTTCCACACTGGCTCATAGTTATTCTGAAACAAATCAATATTCTTGAGGGTTAACCAGATTCCCAAATATTTAACTTTTTTCACCACTTCTATCCCTATTTGTTGTTGCATTGTTTCCATCATACCTTGTCCCATGTTTTTTGTAAGTATTTTGTTTTTTTTCTTGTTTAATATAAACCCTGCCACTTGACCAAATTGTTCAACTTCGTCCAAAACTACTTTTGCACTTTCCAGTGTTTCTTCCACTGTTATTACCAGATCATCGGCAAAGGCTTTTACTTTATACTCATTCCGGCCTACTGACACACCTTTTATTGCTTCATTTCTCCTTATTGAATTTAAGAAAATTTCCAGAACCATTATAAATAACAATGGTGAGAGAGGGTATCCTTCACCATTGTTATTCAGCAAAGCAGCTTCTTGACGCCCAGTCTGCGCCTCCCCTCTCTGTGCGGATGCTTTCTGCGCAAGGAGGGCATGGGTAATGGAGGACCCCTCTCCCCCCCGCTTTGGCCAGGCAAGTTGTCCTGGCACCGCCTTGCCTCTTCTGACTCCTACAGCTCCTCTCCACTGGAGGCGTGCTTATTCTCCTCTGTTGAAGAGGAGCTGCTTCCCATGATCCCTGGAGGCTCTCTGTAATCCATTCGGCTTTTCCTCTCTCCCTCCTGAACCGAGGGCAGTTCCCTGACAATATGCTTCAGCATCTGGGAAAACATCACCTGAGGAACGCTCCAGTTTGTGCGCAAGTCTTTCATTTATGCATTTTAGGGCATTTACATTCCCATTAATGACGTAAATTTTGCCCACACCTTTTGCTGCCGTACAACCCCAGATCAACACAATATCTGAGTGTTTCACGGTCGGTGTAATGCAAGTAGGATGTAAATCTTCTCTGATTCTTCTCCTCGCGTATGTCATGCCATCACTACCAAGCAAGAGGATTTGGGTCTCATTGCACCACATAACATTGTCCCATTGTTCCGCTGTCCAGTTAACATGGGTTTAATCTTTTCAACCTTTGCTTGAGAGATAACAATGGCTTATTCCTTAGAATTCTAACATTTAGACCAGTCCTTGCACTCAACTTCACATTACATTGCACCATGTCATCTTGTATCCACCCAGATGATTTTCTTCTGTCATGTAGGGACAGTCTCTCCACTCGTCCATCGTCACTTGCCTTTGTGCACCTTTCCCTGCCTTTACCTGTCTGATTTTGTAGTGACTGAGTCTCCTTATACCTCTTCAAAAATATATAAAGGCCAGCTCTGGTTAAGTTTTTCCTAATCTTTCATCAATTTCTTCATAACTGTAGCCTTGTTCACTTAACAGTACAATTTTACATCGCTTTCTGGGTGACCAGTCAACTCTTTGTGCCATTTCTGTAATTTTATTATGTTTTATAAGAACACAAAAAAACCAACCAACTTCATAGCAATCACAAAAGACACTGACAAAAGTCAACCTAAGCAAGTTGTGCTTCCTTTTTCTGGTTATTTGGCTATAGCATTAGATATAAATGATATAAATAAATATGTTGGTTAATGACAAACAACAAAGGTAATAAACACACACTGAACTCCAGTTCTTCTCCATTTGTTCCTGAGACTCTAATCCCTTTTTGTCTCCATGGCAGATTGTGATGAATCAGAAATCAAGAACGAAGGTGACCACGATAAAATCCCAGAGAGGAGAAGCCACGTGAAAATTTGGAGTGTGGAGAAAGCCGCAGTCAGCGCTCCCATTCCACTTCCCATCAACAAAATATCCTTGGAAAGAAACTCTATCAGTGTGTGGAATGTGGAAAGAGCTTCAGGAAGAGCTCCTCTCTCACTTCCCATCAAAAAATTCATACTGGGGCGAAACCCTATCAGTGTGTGGAATGTGGAAAGAGCTTCACTGAAGGCTCCTCTCTCACTTCCCATCAAAGAATTCATGCAGGGGAGAAACGCTATCGGTGTGTGGAATGTGGAAAGAGCTTCAGGAAGAGCTCCTCTCTCACTTCCCATCAAAGAATTCATACAGGGGAGAAACCCTATCAGTGTGTGGAATGTGGAAAGAGCTTCAGTCAGAGCTCCGATCTCACTTCCCATCAAAGAATTCATACAGGGGAGAAACCCTATCAGTGTGTGGAATGTGGAAAGAGCTTCAGTCACAGCCACAATCTCACTTCCCATCAAAGAATTCATACAGGGGAGAAGCCCTATCAGTGTGTGGAATGTGGAAAGAGCTTCAGTCAGAGCTCCGATCTCACTTCCCATCAAAGAATTCATACAGGGGAGAAACCCTATCAGTGTGTGGAATGTGGAAAGAGCTTCAGTCAGAGCTCCGATCTCACTTCCCATCAAAGAATTCATACAGGGGAGAAACCCTATCAGTGTGTGGAATGTGGAAAGAGCTTCAGTCAGAGCTCCAACCTCACTTCCCATCAAAGAATTCATACAGGGGAGAAACCCTATCAGTGTGTGGAATGTGGAAAGAGCTTCACTCACAGCCACAGAATCTCACTTCCCATAGAAGAATTCATACAGGGGAGAAACCCTATCAGTGTGTGGAATGTGGAAAGAGCTTCAGGACAGAGGTCCTCTCTCACTTCCCATCAAAGAATTCATACAGGGGAGAAGACCCTATCAGTGTGTGGAATGTGGAAAGAGCTTCACTGAAAGCTCCAAACTCACTTCCCATCAAACGAATTCATACAGGGGAGAAACCCTATCAGTGTGTGGAATGTGGAAGAGCTTCACTCATACCCTCCTCTCTCACTTCCCATCAAAGAATTCATACAGGGGAGAAACCCTATCAGTGTGTGGAATGTGGAAAGAGCTTCACTGAAAGCTCCAAACTCACATCCCATCAAAGAATTCATACAGGGGAGAAACCCTATCAGTGTGTGGAATGTGGAAAGAGCTTCAGTCATAGCTCCTCTCTCACTTTCCATCAAAGAATTCATACAGGGGAGAAACCCTATCAGTGTGTGGAATGTGGAAAGAGCTTCAGTCACAGCTACAGTCTCACTTTCCATCAGAGAATTCATACAGGGGAGAAACCCTATCAGTGTGTGGAATGTGGAAAGAGCTTCACTGAAAGCTCCAAACTCACTTCCCATCAACGAATTCATACAGGGGAGAAACCCTATCAGTGTGTGGAATGTGGAAAGAGCTTCACTCATAGCTCCTCTCTCACTTTCCACCAAAGAATTCATACAGGGGAGAAACCCTATCAGTGTGTGGAATGTGGAAAGAGCTTCAGTAGGAGCACCGAACTCACTTCCCATCAAAGAATTCATACAGGGGAGAAACCCTATCAGTGTGTGGAATGTGGAAAGAGCTTCAGGAAGTGGTTCTCTCTCAATTCCCATCAAAAGAATTCATACAGGGGAGAAACCCTATCAGTGTGTGGAATGTGGAAAGAGCTTCAGTCAGAGCTCCTCTCTCACTTCCCATCAAAGATTTCATACAGGGGAGAAACCCTATCAGTGTGTGGAATGTGGAAAGAGCTTCACTCACAGCCACAGTCTCACTTCCCATCAAAGAATTCATACAGGGGAGAAACCATATTAGTGTGCGGAATGTGGAAAGAGCTTCTGGAGGAGCTCCTATCTCACTTTCCATCAAAGAATCTATAGAAAGGTCGGAAAAGCCATTAAACAGCTTTAGGAACAAGACAAATCTCTTTTTTAAATAATGAATATTTATTAGCATTTCCAAAATAATACAAGATACAAAAACAAAAAATAACAAAAATACAAAACTTAAAAACAATTAAAAACACATAGAATTTCAATTGCTTGCTTTTCTTTTAACTTATTTCTCAGACCTCCTCGCACCTCCCTTCTCTGTATTCCAATTCAAGTTATTAGCTCAGCAAGTCCTCACCTAATTTAATTCACTTTAAAAACCAATTTTTCTAATATTAGCTCTCATCCAAACTTATACATCAATACTTATTCTTAAAACATTTTCTAAGATAGACCACAATTTCCTTCCACGAATTTCCCAATTTTCATACAATAACAAAGCAAAATAGAAAACAAGTTATAATTATATACCCTTTAAGTTCCCAATTTCTATTCCACCCATACCCCCTTCCCGGTTTCAGTCCCCAACAAATGTCTATCTCAATATGCAATCAGCCTGGAGATCTAACATCCGAGGCTCTTAATTCTCTCTCACTTCCTCTCTGCCGGTCTTTTTGATAGTCCTTAATGTTGAACACCAAATCTCGGAGAAGCTCCGGCCCAACAGGATCCATATTTCTTCCGGCCAGACCTCCATACTTAAAGATGAAGCCTATGGGGCCAAATCTTGCTTCATACTCCTTTCAAATCCAATTGTCCCCACAGCTCCAACCTCCACCTTAATCAAATTTGTAATCTTCAGGTCTTCAGATCTCCACATAAGGAGATCTCTCCATTTTTCACTCTCCAATTCAGGCCAGACTAGGAACAAGACAAATCTCCACCTTTGGCTGATTAACATCGGTTTTGTGTTTTTATATTGTGTTTTTATGTTGTAACATTCCTGAGACCTGTGGGTGTAGGGAATAGGCACCAACTCTTAAAGCCCTAGGGGTCTTTGTCCCCAAATAAAATATTTGAGGGG